TGATTCAGTTGTGTGTCAGGTGTGATTCAGGTGTGTGTCAGGTGTGATTCAGGTGTGTGTCAGGTGTCAGGTGTGAGTCTTACTGATGTCCTTCTTCCAGTTGCAGGGGATCCTGCAGTGGATCTTGTCGGTGTGGTCTTTACAGGTGGCCTCTCTCAGTCCGTCTCCACAGTCTCCGTCCTCTGGGACACATTTCCCATACTGAGTCTCTGCAGTGGAGCACTCTGAGGCAGGTCTGGACTTCTCATGTTTCCCAGCTGGTGGAACAGAGTCACAGCAACACCTGAGTACTGACAGCCCCCCTCAGAGAGAGACTCTACTTTCAATCATCAGGTGAGTCTGATGTCACCTCGTTAAGATTAATTAAGGGTTCATCTCCTCCAGAATCTGTAAACATTCTTCATTTCTACAGTTTAACAGCTGGACAGATGTTTCCTGAAGTGTTTGTGACCTTTACATCACTGTCAGTATCATACTGCACTGTGATTGGCTCCAGGCTAGCTGTGATGTCATAACTCCTGCAGGTATGTCCAAGTGTTAAACTGAAATTAAAGCACAGACTGTAAATAAAGATGGACGTCACCTCTGTGACATCACTCACAGGTTTCTGAAGCTCAGTGTGAGCTGCTCCACCGTTGGCATCTTGGCATTGTCTGACTCCACCCCCTAACTCCCAGCTAATCCAAAAATGGTCAAAGAGGAGGGGCGTGTGTGGAGTCATGACTTCAGTACATACACTCACCCACCTGTCTCAAAGAGGCCACGACCTCAATCCTCCATAACTTTAATAAAATGTAAACAGGTGAGTTATATACACAGGTGTCATGAAGGAGGAAATTAGTTTTTGTACCTCTACAGGAATGAGGAACTTGTCTCACTCTCTAACCTTTGTGCATCTGGTTAATTCATTCCAAGTGCATTCTGGGAAATATGAAGTTCAAACAGAGGAAGACGGAAAAATTATTCATGACAGAACAACAGCTCTAATGAGCCGCACCTCAGACTCAATATTCATAACAGAGGACAGAGTCCACTATATCTGCCTATATCAGCCTCATCTGCACTCTGTTTACAGCTGATTTATAAATGTTAGCATGCTAACATGCTAAGCTAACAGCTGCCTGTTTAAGCCTCACCTCTGTGACTCTTTCCTCTCTTGTTGGCCTCGGTGGTGCCCATCAGGACCAGGACCAGGACCAGGACCAGGAGCAGCGTCACTGAGAATAAACCTCGCATTCTGCAGATACACAGACACAAAGGAGACAATCACAACACAACAACACAACACAACACAACCCAGGAACCTATTCTGACGGGGGGGGGGGCTCAGAGGTGTTTCTGGTCTGTCGGCTGACCTGATCCTGGTCTTTAACTGTACCCTGATCTGGACTAGCTGAGCTGGCCTCGGGGGGCCAGATGGTCCAGATATTAGTCCAAACAAAATCAGATCTGACCCCCACCACATAATGTGAGCTTTGTAGTGAGAGCAGCCTCAGGATTATAGAAGTAGGCTAATGTATTCACACAGTCACTGCTCTGCACACTCCTCAGCTCTGATGTACTTCAGGCTCTTGGCTCTGCTCTGACAAAGAGAGAGTCAATTACCCATAAAGCCCCTCTCTCCCTCGCCCCCTCCCTGTTGTTATTGTGCTGAGAAATGACAGCCTCCTCTTTCAGGCCTCCATTAAAGCTCCGGCCTTCTTTCACATGTCAGCTGGCAGAGCAAATCCTGTTCTTCTCGCTCCTCCTGCGGGTCTTTTATGAGCAGAGAACCGGCTCTCAGCAGGCCTCCAGTCTGTCCTCCATCAATGAAGAGGGGTGGGGGGGTGGCGGGGCGAGGAGGCCAAGCAGTATCTGAAAGAGCCCTTTAGATTTCCTCTCAAAAGAATACTGATTCATTGGCCCAAAACAAAGCCTTTTCTAGCCTGGTTCCATTTCTCTGAAGCCGAACACAGATTCCATGCAACGTCTTAGGAGCTGCACCCCCCCCCCCTCTGCCCCTGAATAGAAATGTATTTGCATAAGAAAACAATGAGATCTTAGCATGAAGAAAAGGAGTGGGATGCTCCCTTTGGTGGAAAACGAGCAGCAACATTTAGAGGAAGTTGCTGCTGAATCTCAGAGTTCAACTCTCACATCCGAAGCCAAGTTAAAAGGCTGAGGAGCTTCCTGCTGCAGAGACACAGAATCTGAATCTGATCCCTGCAGCAGGAAGAGACGGAGCTGCGGCTTCTTCTGACGCTTCCACAGCACAAACACGAAGCAGAGACTCAGATACAACTGATTCTGAAAGATCCAATCAGACGCTTTAATTAACAACATCTGCACATTCACATCAACACAAACACGAAGCAGAGACTCAGATACAACATACTCTGATCAACATGCTCAGCTGGAAACGTCCGATCAACAACAACTAAACAACAACAACATGTGCACACGCACATTAACACAGACATGAAGACTGACATTTGTCTGTTTTACTGTTTAACTGTTTTGTTTGTTCTCCCTTTCAAAATAAACCTTTCTCTTTCCTGTGTGATTCCTTTGTGAAATGCATCATCATATAATTCTCAAAGATTTCAAATGTTCAGTCATCTGTGGATCTGAAACTCAAACTTATTAACAATTGATCACTGAATCGAAAATTATTGAAAAAGTTCAACTCTCTGTTCATCAGTACACTGTAGTTTAGAGGCTTTGTAAATTAAAACAAGTACACACAGTGTAAAATGAGTGTGTGTGTGTGTGTGTGTGTGTGTGTGTGTGTGTGTGTGTGTGTGTGTGTAAAAGGTTTTAAAAACATAAAAACTTACTTGCCGGTCTCAGAGCAGCAGCCAGTCAAACTGTGGAGTCGTCGCCTTCTGTCGCTGCCTGCCTTCAGCTGCTGCTCCTCAACACCCCGCCCCTCCCTCCCTTTCTCACTCACACACACACACACCCACACACACACACGCACGCACACCCACACGCGCGCACACACACACACACACACATGCAAGCACACACACACACACACACACACACACACACACACACACACACACACACACACACACACACACACACATGCTTGCATATGAACAATGCTGAAAACCAGCCTTATGGTGACATCACAAGCTTTAATGCTTCTCCTGATGAACAAAACAAGCTCAGCTCATTAGCATAAAGTGTGTGTGTTACATACAGTGTTGGTAAAATATGTGTGTGCGTGTGTGTGTGTCATTGAGAAGGAGTGTGAGCTATGTCACCGTACAGGTTGTGTGTGTTTATTCTCTGTAGGTGTGTCTGAACTCTGCACTACTATTTACTCAAATGGCTGAGTGAGTGTACAGGTGAGTGATGGGGTACACCTGCTTTCAGTCACCTGGTGGACTGAGTGTGATATATGTGATATATAAATGTGTGTAATATGTGATATTTATGTGATATACATGATATGTGATATATGTGATTTATATGTGATTTATGTGTTATACATGTGTAATATGTGATATGTGATTTATATGATATATATGTGTTATTTATGTGATATATATATTTGTTCTCTCTCTGTTCTCTCTGTTCTCTTTGTTCTCTCTGTTATCTGTTCTGTGTTCTCTCTGTTTTCTCTGTGTTCTCTTGGTTCTGTGTTCTCTCCTCCCTGCGTCAGAAAGTCTGTGATGGCTCAGTCATGCGTGGAGGTCATTGTTGTGAGCTGCAGCTGTAAACAGAGAGCGGTAGGCAAGCTCTGTCCCGTCCTCCTTCAGGTCCTCAGGGCCTTGTTGTTGTTGTTGTTGTTGTTGTTGTTGTTGTTGTTGTTGTTGTTGTTGTTGTTGTTGTTGAACCCCATGACACAATAAATAAAACAATGTGTGGTTCATTTCCTGTTGATGGACAAACAGTTTCTTCTTCTTGGGAATAATTTCACGTCTCTCAGAACATTGTTACTGACATGCTTTATTGCAGGTCACTCAGAAATGATAAAACCAAACATTTATCACTCGTTATCATACAGTGTCATCATAATTAGCTTTTAGTACAGACTGACTGCTTTGGCAGAATCTGGCTTCAGCTTCAGTTTTCACACTGAGTCTATCTCAGCTATGTACAGCAGATACACATCACTATGCTTCACTCTCATGTAGCAGACACAAACACCTAAAGTCTTTATCTCTACACATCATAAATATCTAAACTCCTCTGTGGCTATGTTAAATATCCAAACACTTATTTCTCATCAGAAATCATCACTAGAAGCTGAGAAGACACGTTTTTGCAGCCGCTCTAACTGATATGGCGAAAGCATCTAGTTTCCATCACGTCCAGCTGCAGACACATAACTGCCGTCACTGTTCACATCTGTACACACACACACACACACACACTGTCATTTACACACAGGTCAGAGCGCTAATGTTTAGAGCGCTAACGTTCACGTCCGGACTGCTAACATTCAGACTGCTAACGTTCAGAGTGCTAACGTTTAGAGCGCTATCATTCACGTTCAGAGTGCTAATATTCAGACTGCTAACATTCAGACTGCTAACGTTCAGAGTGCTAACATTCAGACTGCTAACGTTCAGAGTGCTAATGTTTAGAGCGCTAATGTTCACGTCCAGAGTGCTAACAATCAGACTGCTAACATTCAGACTGCTAACGTTCAGAGTGCTAATGTTTAGAGCGCTAATGTTCACGTCCAGAGTGCTAACAATCAGACTGCTAACATTCAGACTGCTAACGTTCAGAGTGCTATCATTCAGAGTGCTAACGCTTAGAGTGCTAACGTTCATGTCCAGAGTGCTAACATTCAGAGTGCTAACGTTCAGAGCGCTAACATTCAGACTGCTAACATTCAGTGTGCTAATGTTCAGAGTGCTAACATTCAGAGTGCTAACGTTCAGAGCGCTAACATTCAGAGTGCTAACGTTCAGAGCGCTAACATTCAGAGTGCTAACGTTCAGAGTGCTAACATTCAGACTGCTAACGTTCAGTGTGCTAACATTCAGAGTGCTAACATTCAGAGCGCTAACATTCAGACTGCTAACGTTCAGAGTGCTAACATTCAGACTGCTAACGTTCAGCTCATTGAAACACATTCAGAAACGAGTCTTTGTGGTCTAGTTTGAATTGACTTTAGTGTCCAGAGGTTTCCTTCAGTTTGGACCAGACAACAGAACAAATACTGATCTCTGGTCAGTTAAAGCAGTTTGATCAAAACAATAACTGATAATCATGATGTCATCAGTCTACAAAAACAATAACTGATGATCATGATGTCATCAGTCTACCAGCCTCCTGTCTTGAACAGACAGGAAGGAGTAATGGACTACATTCAGTCTGAGGAGTTAAAACACGACCTTTGACCCTGATATACACACTGAGCTGGGAGTAGATACATGAAAGAGCTAAGGACAGACAGGTCAGAGGTCAGACAGGTCGGAGGTCAGACTGCCGTCTCGTGGTCTTCTCTCTGGATCATCTGGTAATGTTGGCGGTTCTCCAGGTACTCAGCCAGGTCCTGGTCTCTGGCTCTCTCAGCGTGCTGTTTGGGAGTCTCACCCTGAAAGACACAGACATGTGGTTTGATGTGGTTTTAGCTGATCCTGATTAGAGTCCTGATACTGATCATCTGCTGATACAGACTTTATAGACAGACAGACAGTGAGACAGTTTACAGACAGACAGACATACAGTTTACAGATAGACAGACAGACAGTGAGACAGTTTACAGACAGACAGACAGACAGACAGTTTAAAGACAGACAGACTGTTTACAGACAGACAGACTGTCAGACAGACAGACAGTGAGACAGTTTACAGACAGACAGACAGACAGACAGTTTAAAGACAGACAGACTGTTTAAAGACAGACTGTTTACAGACAGACAGACTGTCAGACTGACAGACGGACAGACAGACAGACAGACAGACAGTCAGACAGACAGACAGACAGTTTACAGACAGACAGACAGACAGACAGACAGACAGTTTCAAGTTTTTAGTTTTAGCCTCTCAGCCTTCTCTCTCTGCTCTGCACCAACACTGGACAAATTGACACACACTAACACATACACATTAACAAACACACACACACACACACACACACACACACACACACACTAACAAGAACAGACATGCAAAACAGAACACATCTGACACATGAACTCTTTTCATTTGCTGGAGAGCAGAAGAAGAAGAAGATTATGGGCTGCTTCCTGTTACCACTGGCTTCACCATGGCGACAGGGAGCCGTGGCCTTTGTGTGTGTCGGAGCGGGGCCGGGATCCTGCGGCGCTTCGTCTCTCAATGACACACAACATTAATCACTTGAGAGAAGTGGGTCAGATCCTGGTGGGGGGGGTTTGNCAGCCCTGGGTGAGTGCCACCACTCGCCCCCCACTGTTCACTCATCACTAACACTGATGGAGCTGCTGTTTCCCACCAACACTCAACACATCACACAGTCACATGACCACTACGGGAACATTTGAAGTGTGTGTCACAGGTGGTTTACCTGCAGGTCTGTCTTCATGAGCGATGCCCCGCCCTCCACCAGGTAGTGACAGATGCTCCTCTGACAGGAAGTGGCAGCTTTGTGGAGCGCTGTCTCACCTCTGACACACACACACACACACACACACACACACACACACACACACACACACACACACACACACACACACACACACACACACACACACACACACACACACTATTCAGACTCAGCTGATTTCTGAACTCTGATATTAATGCAGTCCAGCATAAATATCATGATATATAAAATAACTAAATATTATCCGATATATCTGCTGTTCAGTTCATTTGTCACAAGCCAAGTTCAATGTAAAGTAAGGTCATAATACAGTAATGAATATCAGCCCAAATCTAATATTATAATATTATAATAATAATATATTAGAATGTTATTGTAACATTATAATATTGTAACATTTTATTATTATAACATTATAACATTGGATGGATGGATGAATAGATAGATACTTTATTATCCCCTAGGGGAAGTTCATGTGTCCACTAGCTTATTGCTAATAATAATAAAAATAGTTAATAATAAATAATAAACAATAATAAGTAAATTGAATTAGTCCACTTCCTTTGGCTGGCTGTTATACAGCCTGATGCCAGTGGGAACAAAGGTTGTCAATATGTAATTATACTATAACATTATCACATTATAATGTGATAATATCATTATATTATAGCATTAAATTATTATTACATTAGTACAGAGAACACAGAAGCTGACTTACGTCTCTCTCTCTGTGACGTCCAGGTGAGACGTGGGAACTGAAAGTAAAAATAAACAAAGTTAGAAACATGTCGCTGTCAGAGGAGAGGGACTAAAGTCCACCTTCAATATCACCTGTGACTAATCTGATGATGTTGTTATAATCTGATGACAGATTCACCTGCAGTCCAACACACACACACACACACACACACACACACACACACACACTGATGACTTCTTCTTCTCTTTATATTGGATTTTTCCTTGTTACCATTTCTTTTATTTCATCTTAACAAATCTCTTCAACTGACTCAAGACTTATTTTCTTAAAGTCAGTGAACAGCCTCAGTTGTATATATATATATATATATATTATATATATGTCATCTGTCAGTAACATGTGCTCCAGGTCTTTATAGAGATGTTCTGTCAGTAGAACAGATCACTGCATTAGAACCAGAACACAAACGACAATAACTGAAACGGTATTTGAACAGAACTAGAGAAATGACTCTGTAATGTATTTACTCCTGTTTCTCGATGTAATGTTATTTACTGGTTTATCTCTTTTATTCTACTTCACTTTATTTGTTTCATTGTTGAACCAGGAGTTTCGTTTCTTCTTATCTACACTTGAACAGCCGGAAACACAGAAGCACTTCTTTAATGTTTGAACAAAATGACAATGTTGACTAACGAGTTTGTGAGGTTTGAGACCTAGAGCCGCCAGCTGCTGTTAACATCTGATGGTCGACTCTTACCGTGGTCGATGAGGTACTTGACGATCTCTTTGCTCTCAACCCGCACGGCGTGATGCAGTAGCGTGCAGCCGGCTGCGTCCTGCAACAGCAGGTCTGCCCCCTGCTGGTGGAGCTCCATTAGCTGTATTGTGTTTAATGCAGGCAGAATATAGTTAACGCTCCTCCAGTGTAAAGGTGTGTGTCCATGTGTAGTGTGATTATAGATCAGCTCTAGCTTCTATATTAATACTGTGAAAGTATCAAAGCCTCAGTCCACAGAGAAATGCACACAGCCTGTATTCAGAAACTGAGCCTTAAAACCAGCCGTCAGGACTTCTGGAACTTTGTGATGTCACAACAAAGCAGTCACCAAGCCCCGCCCACCTGGACCCACCATCCAAACCTTGCAGGATTTGGTTTCTCTGAGTGTTTTACCTGAAATCTGCTTTATTTTTATTGGATCAGTCAGAAAACAGTCAGCCAATCAGAAGAGAGGCTCAGAGCCTCCTCTCTTCTGATTGGCTCACAGACCTGTTGTTACTAGAGCTGCAGAGAGAAGCCTGAGAGAGGAGATGGTTTAAACAAATGCTCTAACACTTCAATCACTTCAAATCAAATAGTGGAAGCTTTAACTTGGAGCAGGAACAGATGAAACATGAGCTGGTTCAGAACCAGTTGTTGTTTTGGACTCACCTGGTCCAGGTCTTCAGCCTCGATGCAGCTGATCAGCTCTGCTTCTACAGAGCAAAAGAACAACACAGGACACAGTCAGGAGAACCGAGTCCACTGGGAACCTGACTCTGAACATACAACAGATGTGAACAGGTGGATCAGCTCAATGTTTCTCAGGTGAGAACCTTTACCTTTCTCAGGGTGGTGTGAGATAGCACTGGAGGGACTGTCAGAGAGAAGAGAAACCGTTAGATATGGACCTGAAGAACCACAGGACAAGAGAACTACCACAGGACAGGTGAACAGGAGAACTACCACAGGACAGGTGAACAGGAGAACCACCACAGGACAGGTGAACAGGAGAACCACCACAGGACAGGAGAACAGGTGAACAGGTGAACCACCACAGGACAGGAGAACAGGAGAACAGGAGAACAGGTGAACAGGTGAACCACCACAGGAACACAGAGATGGAGCGGCTCACACACACAGAATGAGTCCTACCGAATCATGGATCTGAAATCAGCGAGGGTGGTGTTGGAGCGATGGACATTGAGGAACTTTGCCTCCCTCCTTCAGGATCACATAGAAACAGGTGGGACAAGATGTTCAGGTGAGGACGGTCAGAGTGAGGTTCTGTGAGGTCTGGGTTTCAGTTAGCAACTTAAACCCTGTCAGTCACACGGGTACAACATGAAGACAGTGATTACATGGGTACGACAGTCGGCTCATGTGGTCTGTGGTTGGATGAGGTCAGATCCAATCCAGCTCCACCCAGTTCTGGATACGTATGAACATGATTCAGAAACATCAGAGCGAGTGACGCTCTGGATATCTGATTGGTCCTAGAGCAACATGTTAGTTAAATAAACAACAACAGATTATGATTTGTTTTTTTATCTCATCATTTATTTCTATGCCAACACAAATATTCCTCACCTGCACTGGTACTAGACTGTTGCTAAGCAACACATAAACATTTTCCTGACCTGATGATGTCATATGATCTGAAGTGTCCAGGCTTCTTCCTTCATCGTCTCCTGACGACCGGACATCATTTAATTCAAACGTTATTTCTGAAATATTTTCATCTTTGTTTGTTACAGTCTGAGATTGATAACGACGTTAATGTGACGCTGATTAACGGTTGATAGAACAGCTGTGAAGAGGAGTGATACATGGAGGGAAAAGTCCCAGAGCTGTTATACTCCATATCGGCACTGAGGGAATGACTCTCGTCCAATCAGATTACTTGGTCGAACTAACTGTTGTGTAATAATGTTTTATTTTGAAGGTCGGTCTCTTTACTCACTCATAATCAGCCAATCACAGCATTATTAGATCCTGGTGCTGACATGCTGCATGCTGATTGGCTCCCTGACTGGCCCCCAGAAGTCTAAATCACTACCATATAAATAATATTCAATATATTAATTTTACTGTTGTTGTAATAAGTGTTTGCAGTTTTGTTGTTAATGAAATTCATGAATAAAACTAGTTGTGTTGAGAGGACATTAATCAGGTCCCCTTATTAAATTGATGAGGTTTACACCGCCCTCTAGTGGTGACTGAGGTCAACAGACTGTGATCTCATGTTTCTCTTTAGGTTTTAGATTTAGTTTAGGTTTAGGTTTAGGTTTAAGTTTAAATTTAAATCATCAGCCTCACAAAATGAGTGGAGGTCGCTGCAGAGTCCTGAGAGATGTGCACAGGTGAGTTACCTGCACAGGGTCGTCTTGGAGGAGCTCTGGGATAAAGCATCAGCCACTGAGCTGTCACTGGAGATCCTCCTCCTCTGGAAGTCTCTCACCCTGAAACACAGAGCTGTGGGTTCATGGTCCAGCTGCAGTCCACCCGACACACCTCCCTTCTCACACTAGAGGAGGAATCTAGACCTGACCCCCCCCCCCCCCCCCCCCCCCCNGAGGTGGGGGAGGATGGGGAGCAGGGGAAGGCGAACTGTCTCTGCTGGTCCTGGTGCTCCTCTGAGTCCACCAGGTCCGGCATCCCAGGGGAGGTGCCCACGGTCTCCTTTAATACGAGCTCCGGATCCAGGATGTAGAGCTCCTCCTGAGAGATCTCCGTCACGTAGTTCAGGTGCTCCTGGAAAACCAGGAGAACCTCAGGAACCAGCTGACGTCTGCAGCCTGTACTGTTCATAAAACCAGTTCAGAGGACTAAGACCAGCTGGGGGTCTGTGAACACCTGTCATACCTGAGCTCGGTCGATCCTGTAGAAGCGGTCTGCAGTCGTACCTGAAAGACAAGACCACAGGTCAGGTTCTGTGAGAGCCGGACTGACGGGGGTGTGTGTTGATGTGGACTCACAGTCGAGGAAACACCACTTCAGGGACAGTTTCTGTGAAGATAGACACTCCCCCCTCATCGTGTCACTGTCCTGAAAGAGCAGGAACAGAGACGACACATGAACACAAGTCTCTCAGGAGAACTGTGACCTCCAGTCCGGTCTGGATTCTGGTTCTGGACTCTGGTCTGGAGGGTTTTACTGCTGTACCTGGTCTAGGTTTTCCTGCAGACGCTCAATGAGCAGGCGGCAGGTCTCCAGGTCACTGTCTCCGGGGACGGTGATCACTCCAAGCGGCATGGCTGCAGAGACAGAGAGAGAGAGAGACAGAGACAGAGACAGAGACAGAGAGACAGAGAGACAGAGACAGAGACAGAGAGACAGAGACAGAGAGACAGAGAGAGAGACAGAGAGAGAGACAGAGACAGAGACAGAGAGACAGAGAGAGAGACAGAGACAGAGACAGAGACAGAGACAGAGACAGAGAGAGAGACAGAGAGACAGAGACAGAGAGACAGAGAGAGAGACAGAGAGAGAGACAGAGACAGAGACAGAGAGACAGAGAGAGAGACAGAGACAGAGAGACAGAGAGAGAGACAGAGAGACAGAGACAGAGAGACAGAGACAGAGAGACAGAGAGAGAGACAGAGAGAGAGACAGAGACAGAGAGACAGAGAGAGAGACAGAGACAGAGAGACAGAGAGAGAGACAGAGAGACAGAGACAGAGACAGAGAGACAGAGAGAGAGACAGAGAGACAGACACAGAGAGAGAGACAGAGAGACAGACAGACACAGAGAGACAGACACAGAGAGAGAGGACACGTACAGGTTAAAGTAGCAACAGCAGTGGGCGGAGTCATGTCAAGTCAGTGTTTTCCAGTCATGTTCATGTGAGTGTGTGATGTCATCAGCGTGTGATGACATCAGCTGACTGACTGATCAGGTCTCGGTGGACCCTCTGAGGACGTGGACTCACAGGCCTCCTTCAGCTGGTCCTTGTCGTAGTGCAGAGCCTCGTAGGCTGCCATGCTGATCCTGTTCACTCTGATCTGCAGCGTGTCAGGGAGGGGCTGCTGACTGCACACACACACACACACACACACACACACACACACACACACACACACACACACACACACACACAGGGTCAACACACATACTGAGTGAGGACTGCAGGTCAGGTGATCAGTATGAGGGACTAGGTTCTGACGTACTCGTTGAGGTGGGGCATGGAGATCCTCCTCTTGGTCTTCTGGACCAGGTTGGCCTGGTTCCTCAGGTTGATGCGGATCACGGACGGAGCCAGTTTACAGGGTTCCCCGTCCACCTGCATGGGGATGGACTTGTAGGTGGTGAGGGTCACCTCTTTACACTGGTGCAGACGCTCACCGTGACCCCCCACCTGCAGCGTGGCCTGGACATAGACATCAGCTGATCAGATAATGTGACCCGAAGGTGTTTCCTGGTTTCATGTATGGATTATATGGCTATTAATAAACAGCTGATTAAATCTAATCAATAAAACGTCAGACGAGGCATTCAAGTGAATGTGGGACAAATGAAACTTGAAGCTACTGAAATATTCAAATAAATGAGCAGATTTGTGATGTTCTTGGAAACATCACAAATCCTCCTGGGGTTTTACCCTTTGGATAATACACGTTAGCCACTCAAAAATTCAAAATGGCCGCCATTCCTGGTAAGGAAATGTTATTTTTCATAAGTTCATCCACTATTTTCTCATATCCAGGTGTCAAATCAAACATTTTAACACTGTAGAAGAAGAATTTAGTTAACTGTAAAAAATGAAATCAAAGTATATGTCAGCAAAAATATTACTCTCAAAAAAACTTGCTAACTAGCCTAGCACTAGCGAGTTAGCCTAGCAAGCTAAAGTTAAAACAAGCAGACTGTCGACTCTTACAGAACTTTTGATTCATCATTATAATAAATGGTTTGTTAACACATTGTGTTTTATGCAGAAAGTTTCACGACATGTTAGAAACTGTTTAAATTAAGTTCAGAGGAAATTTAAGAGCTGTGACTTTGACATCCTGAGAATCTAAAACATACATTACACAAATTATTTAAATCTGTCTGAGAGTAAAATGTATGTTTCTTGTGAAACGGAAACGGCGACCATCTTGAAAATTTGAAATTTCAAGTGAAAAATGAATGTCCCAGAGGCATTTGATGCATGATGGTCTGATGGTCTGAGGTGGTCTGATGTGGTCTGATGGTCTGAGGTGGTCTGATGTGGTCTGATGGTCTGAGGTGGTCTGATGGTCTGAGGTGGTCTGAGGGTCTGAGGTGGTCTGAGGGTCTGAGGGTCTGAGGTGGTCTGAGGGTCTGAGGGTCTGATGGTCTGATGGTCTGAGGGTCTGAGGGTCTGAGGTGGTCTGATGAGAGCTCACCAGAGACGTCATGGTGAAGCCGATGACCTCGATGAAGCCGTCGTCATGACGCTGAGGTTCAAAGTCTTGATGCTCACTAGGGTGACCCCACGGCATGGTGCCTGCACAGTACCTGCACACACACACACACACACACACAGACACGCACAGACACGCGTAACTGACAGAGTGAACCAATCACAGCCTGCTTCTACTTCCTGTCTGACATGCTGATTTCTACAGGAGAGAAGAAGTACCTGGGGATGTTGAGGAACAGCAGACACTGGAGCTTCAGGTCCTGGACTTTGGCTGTCAGGTCTGTCCCATCACACTGGGGGGGGGGGCAACACACACACACTGTCAGACATGAGACACAGCAGGACGCTGTGACGCAGAGACTGACTGACATGGAGCCGGTTGAAAGTTTTTCATGAGGTTTGTTGGCAACAGGAAAAAGACGAACAGTCAGAGTGATGTCATCTCTGTTTCCACTCACCACCACTTTGATGTGTTTGGCGAGGTCTTTGGAACTCCCGCTCAGGAAGTCAGAGAAGGCCGTCTGAAACACACAGACACACAGGTCAGACAGGTGAGTGTGTGATGGTCAGACAGACTCAGTGAGTACTCTCACCCCTGCGTAGAACATCTTGTTCCTGAAGCGGCTGTTGAACTTCTCTGGGTTCGCCTCTGAAACACAAATAACAACAACAACAGCTTTTCAGATAAACAACAACAACACAGTCTGTGATCAGCTGATATTAAACATAATATACTTTTATTTCAGTTTTTACAGTGAACTAAATTCTTCTTCTACAGTGTTAAAATGATTTGACACCTGGATCATTCATGAGAAAGAAAAAAAACATTTGTGAGTGAGTGAATGACAGAGAGACAGAGAGAGAGAGAGAGAGAGAGAGAGTGACTGAGAGAGAGTGAGTGACTGAGAGAGAGAGAAAGAGAGTGAGTGACTGAGAGAGAGTGAGTGAGTGAGTGAGAGAGAGAGAAAGAGACAGAATAAGTGAGAGAGTGAATGAGTGAGAGTGGAGAGTGAAAGAGTGATTGAGTGAGAAAGTGAGTGAGTGAGTGAGTGAATGAGTGAGAGAGAGAGTGAGAGACTGAGTGAGTGAGTGAGTGACTGAGAGAGAGAGTGAGTGAGAGAGAGAGAAAGAGAGACAGAGTAAGTGAGAGAGTGAATAAGTGAGAGTGGAGAGTGAAAGAGTGATTGAGTGAGAAAGTGAGTGAGTGAGTGAGTGAGTGAGTGAGTGAGTGAGTGAGTGAGTGAGAGAGTGATTGAGTGAGTGAGAGAGAGAGTGAGAGACTGAGTGAGTGAGTGACTGAGAGAGAGAGAAAGAGAAAGTGAGTGAGTGAGTGAGTGAGTGAGAGAGAGAGAAAGAGAGACAGAATAAGTGAGAGCGTGAATGAGTGAGAGTGGAGAGTGAAAGAGTGATTGAGTGAGAAAGTGAGTGAGTGAGTGAGTGAGTGAGTGAGTGAGTGAATGAGTGAGAGAGAGAGTGAGAGAGAGAGAGAAAGAGAGACAGAGTAAGTGAGAGAGTGAATAAGTGAGAGTGNAGTGAGTGACTGAGAGAGAGAGTGAGTGAGAGAGAGAGAGAAAGAGAGACAGAGTAAGTGAGAGAGTGAATAAGTGAGAGTGGAGAGTGAAAGAGTGATTGAGTGAGAAAGTGAGTGAGTGAGTGAGTGAGTGAGAGAGAGAGTGAGAGACTGAGTGAGTGAGTGACTGAGAGAGAGAGAAAGAGAAAGTGAGTGAGTGAGTGAGTGAGTGAGAGAGAGAGAAAGAGAGACAGAATAAGTGAGAGCGTGAATGAGTGAGAGTGGAGAGTGAAAGAGTGATTGAGTGAGAAAGTGAGTGAGTGAGTGAGTGAGTGAGAAAGAGAGAAAGAGAGACAGAATAAGTGAGAGAGTGAATGAGTGAGAGTGGAGAGTGAAAGAGTGATTGAGTGTGAAAGTGAGTGAGTGAGTGAGAGACTGAGTGAGTGAGTGAGTGAAAGAGAGAGAAAGAGAGAGTGAGTGAGTGAGTGAGTGAGTGAGAGAGAGAGAAAGAGAGACAGAATAAGTGAGAGCGTGAATGAGTGAGAGCGGAGAGTGAAAGAGTGATTGAGTGAGAAAGTGAGTGAGTGAGTGAGTGAGTGAGAGAGAGAGAAAGAGAGACAGAATAAGTGAGAGCGTGAATGAGTGAGAGCGGAGAGTGAAAGAGTGATTGAGTGAGAAAGTGAGTGAGTGAGTGAGAGACTGAGTGAGTGAGTGAGTGAAAGAGAGAGAAAGAGAGAGTGAGTGAGTGAGTGAGTGAGTGAGTGAGTGAGTGAGTGAGTGAGTGAGTGTATGTGTGAGTGAGTGAGTGAGTGAGTGAGAGAAAGAGACAGTGAGTGAGAGAGTGAGTGAGTGAGTGAGTGAGTGAGTGAGTGAGTGAGTGAGTGAGTGTATGTGTGAGGGAGTGAGTGAGTGAGTGAGTGAGTGAGTGAGTGAGTGAGTGAGTGAGTGAGTGAGTGAGTGAGTGAGAGAAAGAGACAGTGAGTGAGTGAGTGAGTGAGTGAGTGAGTGAGTGAGTGAGTGTATGTGTGACTGACCTCTCGACTCGTGGAAGCCCAGTGTGACGTGAGCATCGAAGCCCAGACTGAAGTAGTTGTTGAAGACGTCAATAGGAAGCTGAGAGACAAACAGGGACATGAGTCAAACACAACGTGAGGCTGAGTGACCTCTGACCTCTGACCTCTGTGTGACACTGACCTTGTCTGTCTGATGCTCGTCCCTGTCCTCTGCTCGCGCCTCGGGGTTGGACTCCACATTCAGGTTCCACCGGTCCAGCTGGACAATGTTTCCGTCCTCAACGTGAGACAGGATCTTTGTGATGGGTTCATCAGTGTAGCCCTGAGACAGGAGGAGGAGGAGGAGGAGGAGGAGGACATGAGTGTTGTTAACATAATTAGAAGCGGTAAAAACTCTTTAAGATGTAGGACCAGTAGAGTCCACTAGAACCAGTAGAACCAATAGAACTCACCCCGCCCCAGTTCAGAGTCCGAGCCAGGTCGTTACCAGTTCCCAGAGGAAGGATCCCGACGGGAGGCTGAGGACGAAGGCTCAACTGGTCCAGGACCGACAGGATCCATCCAACCTGAACACACACCCACACACACGCACGCACGCACACACGCACACACACACACAATGTTCTCAGTTCTCCACTGGGGGGTGCCAGAGTTCAAGTTAACTTCAACACAAGATCATTTCACCAACATTCAAGTGAAACATTGAACCAGAGCAGGAAGAGAGAGAGAGATGATCAACTGACATTATTTACATTAATGTAATTAAAAATGTAACTAATGTCAGTTCTGAGTCTGAGTCGATGATTTTATTGATTTATTATTTTAATCTGCTGGACTCACTGTCCCGTCTCCTCCACAGGCCAGGATCCTCAGGTTGGGCACTTTGGCATACAACTCCAGCCTGTAAGAGACAGAGACTGGTCAGACTGGTTAGACTGGGGAGATCTGGTCAGACTGGTTAGACTGGGGAGAACTGGGGGGGGTCTGTGGATGACTGAGGTGAAGTGGGGGGGGCTTGAAGAGGAAAGAATAAACTGCCTCCATTTTTCTTTCACTCGTGTTTTAGCCCCTCCCTCTCAGCAAGTGAGGAAAAGATGTGAAAGGAAAGGAGGAAACACACTTTTCCTTGTCATCAGAGTGATGTCAGAGTGATGTCAGCGTGATGTCAGCATGATATCAGAGTGATGTCAGTGATGTCAGAGTAATGTCAGCGTGATATCAGAGTGATGTCAGTGATGTCAGAGTGCTGTCAGAGTGATGTCAGTGATGTCAGAGTGCTGTCAGAGTGACGTCAGTGATGTCAGAGTGATGTCAGCATGATGTCAGAGTGCTGTCAGAGTGACGTCAGTGATGTCAGAGTGATGTCAGCATGATGTCAGAGTGCTGTCAGAGTGACGTCAGTGATGTCAGAGTGATGTCAGCGTGATGTCAGCATGATGTCAGAGTGATGTCAGCGTGATGTCAGCGTGATGTCAGCATGATGTCAGAGTGATATCACACACACACACACACACACACACACATACACAGTCCTCCAATCAGGAATAAGGAAACTGGAGCACCGCAACATTTCTGGGTCATGCAAGGAGCGATCAAACAAGGGAACTAGGATGTGCCCGCCCAACCCCCCTGAGGGTCAGAGTGGCTGATCTTACCCCTCTCTAGGCCCCCCCTTGGTCAGGTCGAACACCTGTCGAGGGTTCAGGTACCACATGAAGGACTGGATGATCTTGGCTCCCTAAAGAAGAAGAGACAGAGTCATCAGTCAGTCAGTCAGTCAGACAGGCTGTTATTAATCCCTCCTGTGGTCACTGCATTGATGTGTTGAAGAGTTGAACTACCTGGTTCCCGCCGCTCTTTGGGTTGACAAACACCAGCAGAGGCTTCATGAGCTGAGATGGGAGGGGCTTCACCAGGAAGGGCTTCCAGCGGCCATCTTGGAGCTGAGAGACACAACAGAAAGCCGCAGTCTGACTCTGAGCTATTAACCTTATTACATTACATTCTCCCACCTCATTAACCTTAATACATCAAATACTCTATTTTTACTGGAGCTGCTCCTCAGACTCACTGTGACGATTCAGGGTCATTAAAGGTCAGACTGATGCTGCTGATAAAGAACAAGTGATTTAAAGAAACAGCAGCTGAGGCTCCATCTGCTGAACCTGATGTTAGCTAACATCTGGAGAGTGATGTACCTTTTCAGCACCACCAAGTTTAATTTATAACAGCTGTGATATAGATTCTGTGATTTCTATATGTGAACAATCTCTGCTCCTCACCTCAGATCCCTTCTTACTCGTCTTGTTGCACTTCAGCGACGTCCTCTTCTTCTTCTTACTGGACTTCAGAGACGACTGCAGGACGAAGACAAACAGAGAGGTGTCCTTCATTTTACTGTGGGAGGAGCTGGACCTGGTTTCACACTGGTTTCAGAGCTGATCCAGATCTAGCAGACCAAACCAGGCACTGAGTGAAGGACCAAGATGTTAGATTCCACATCCATAGCCCTAACTGTGCAGAACCCTGCTAATAAACTGTGCACGAACAGTAAGATGAGCTCTTTGTATTTTAATGTGTTGTCAAATTGAACAACCACACAGGAGCGGGTCACTGCAGAAGAGGTTTTACAAGTTAGTCAAATAAATGTATTACTAGAGAACATTTAAAAACAACAAATGTTAACCAACGGTTGAGTTTGGTTTAATTCTGTCATCAAACAACCAACTAATTCACTACTAATCACCAATATTCACTAGTATTCTCTAATGTTCACCAATAATCATCAATATTCACCAGTATTCAATAATATTCACTAATATTCATCAGAAAACCAACAAACAAAAAGATTGGGTGATGAAACATGGACGACAAATACAAACACAAAATACAAACTAACAGTTTGGATAAAACTGAACCATGACACAGAATAAATCCACTGACAGTTAAGAAAGTGTAGTCCTCATAAGTACAGTACTACTTGTACAGAGAGTGTGTGTGTGTGTGTGTGTGTGTGTGTGGGTGTGTGTGTGTGTGTGTGTGGGTGTGTGTGTGTGTGTGTGTGGGTGTGTGTGTGTGTGTGTGTGGGTGTGTGTGTGTGTGTGTGTGCGCGCACCTGTGGTCGACGGACCCTGATGATCCAGGTAGGGGGGATGATGACGGCAGCGTGAGCGCCCAGAGAGCAACACTCCTCTATCTGCTGCAGCATGAAGCATGTCACCTTGTTGTGATACTGAAACACAGACAGGAAGTCACAGACAGGAAGTCACCTGACAGGTAGTCACCTGACAGGAAGTCACCAACAGCTGCCCACCCAGAATAAAGGTATGATACACCATACACACCTGTATTTTGCATTTCTGCAGGTGAGTGACTGACGCACGCATCCTTTGGTATTTCAATATATAAAGCATTCACAACTGTTAGCCTCAGTTAGCTCAGATAGCCTCGGTTAGCTCAGATAGCCTCGGTTAGCTCAGATAGCTTCAGTTAGCCCCAAATAGCCTCAGTTAGCTGAGATAGCCTCAGTTAGCTCAGATAGCCTCAGTTAGCTCAGATAGCCTCAGTTAGCTCAGATAGCTTCAGTTAGCTCAGATAGCCTCGGTTAGCTCACATACAGCAGATACAGCCCCCCCTTCCCTGGTAACCACAGGAGGGAGACAAGCTAACATTAGCTAATCCCCAGTGAACTGGACTGAGTTCTATTAGTTATCAATACAAGAAGAGGAGGGCTGTTATTGATTATTATAGTGTTGTTACCCAGTCAGGTATCTGCCCCTGAAACAGACAGACAGACAGGTTGTGACCTTACCGCCTGTTTACACCACGAGCAGCTGATCGCAACAATCTCTTTACTGTGGAACGAGAACTTCTGTTGAAAACCCTGAGGGAGAGACAATCACACAGTGAGACAGAGAGACAGAGAGAGAGACAGACAGAGAGACAGAGGGAGTGAGAGAGAGACAGAGAGACAGAAAGAGGGAGTGAGAGAGAGACAGAGAGAGAGAGAGGGAGAGACAGAGGGAGTGAGAGAGAGACAGAGAGAGAGAGAGAGAGAGAGAGAGCGACAGAGAGAGAGACAGAGGGAGTGAGAGAGAGACAGAGAGAGAGACAGACAGAGGGAGCGAGAGAGAGACAGAGAGAGAGAGAGGGAGAGACAATCACACGGTGAGACAGAGAGAGAGAGCGACAGAGAGAGAGACAGAGGGAACGAGAGAGAGACAGAGAGAGAGACAGAGGGAGCGAGAGAGAGACAGAGAGAGAGAGAGGGAGAGACAATCACACAGTGAGACAGAGAGACAGAGAGAGAGACAGACAGAGGGAGTGAGAGAGAGACAGAGAGAGACAGAGGGAGAGACAATCACACAGTGAGACAGAGAGAGACAGACAGAGAGACAGACAGAGACAGAGACAGAGAGACAGACAGGTGGACACTCACCTTCCCACACTGTCGACACTTCCCTGTCTGACGTCTCCTGTGGACCCAGTGATGTCTCACCACGTTGGACTGAAACAGTGAATCAACAGTTCATGTTGTTTATGTGACAGTGAATGTGTTGTGATCATGTGACAGAGTCGATGACATCACAGCAGTGACTCACTGACCTCTCTAATGGCTCGAGATCCTGGTTCTCTGAACGATGGCTTGCACCTGAAATTGATCTGATCACAGAGACAGAGAGACTCATTAACTCTGTTAGTCCAGACCCGGTCCAGAACCGGTCCAGAACCGATCCACACCTCATCCAGACCTGATCCAGACCTGATCTAGACCTGATCCAGACCTGATCCAGACCTGATCCAGACCTGATCCAGACCTGATCTAGACATGATCCAGACCTGATCCAGACCTGGTCCACACCTCATCCAGACCTGGTCCAGACCTGATCCACACCTCGTCCACACCTCATCCAGACCTGATCCAGACCTGATCCAGACCTGATCCAGACCTGGTCCAGACCTGATCCACACCTCGTCCACACCTGATCCAGACCTGATCCAGACCTGATCTAGACATGATCCAGACCCGGTCCACACCTCATCCAGACCTGGTCCAGACCTGATCCACACCTGATCCACACCTCGTCCACACCTGATCCAGACCTGATCCAGACCTCATCTAGACATGATCCAGACCTGATCCAGACCCGGTCCACACCTCATCCACACCTCATCCACACCAGGTCCACACCCGGTCCACACCCGATCCAGACCTGATCCAGACTCGGTCCAGACCTGATCCAGACCTGATCCAGACCTGATCTAGACCTTATCCAGACCTGGTCCACACCTCATCCACACCTCATCCAGACCTGATTCAGACCTGATCCAGACTCGGTCCAGACCTGATCCAGACCTGATCTAGACCTGATCCAGACCTGGTCCACACCTGATCCAGACCTGGTCCACACCTGGTCCACACCTGATCCACACCTTATCCAGACCTGGTCCACACCTCATCCACACCTCATCCAGACCTGGTCCACACCTCATCCACACCTCATCCAGACCTGATTCAGACCTGATCCAGACTCGGTCCAGACCTGATCCAGACCTGGTCCACACCTCATCGAGACTTGATCTAGACCTGATCCACACCTGATCTAAACATGATCCAGACCTGGTCCAGGCTTTACCTTCTCCAGCTGCTCCATACACATGGTGTGGACTGAGATCTTACACCCGGCACACTTCTTCCTCGCCACAGACTTTTGCTGCAGAAAACAAGAACAGAGTTGTTGTGTAGTAACAGACTGTAAACGCTATGAGCAGGGGGGTGGGGGGTGGGGGGTTATCTCAAGATAACAAGATAAAAAAATACTTTCTTGCCCTCCAGACCCCTGAAATGAGGGAAGTTAAAATGTTTGAAATCTTTCATTTATTCGTTTAAAGAGTGACAGCTGTGAAACACCCACTGAGCAGGTCACATGACTCTGTGACTCACCAGCGACTTGGCGACGCAGTACTGCTCTCCAACATAACAGAAGTCTCCAGACCCACTGGTCTCAAACCAGATGTGGTCCCCGAACTGGGCATTGTCCTGTGACAGAAAAGAGTGGGAAACACAAAAACATGTTCAGGACCACAGTCCTGCTCAGGGTCACATGATGCTATTAGCGCTTCTCTATTTATTTTAAATTGAGCTGCACGATACGCAAAAAAATCATATTGTGATTATTTTGGTAAATTCTCTTTATGTCTGGAGAATATGATCTGTAGGCCAGGGCATCTCCGTAGCACCACAACACTGATGGTGCTAACAATGCTAATGCTAACAGTGATTTTTTTCAGATTTGGTCATACACACTTGGTCATATTGAGATTTCAATAAATTTTGCAGCTCTACTTTTAAAGTGTTTGATTTGATCGGGAGTCTCTCCTCACTTTGTTTCATATTGTAGAACCAAAACCCACAGTGAGGCGTCTTATTACTGTGGTCCACGTCTGTGGTTTAGGACCTGAAGACCTGAAGACCTGAAGACCTGAGACCTGAAGACCAGGGGACCTGAGACCTGAAGACCTGAGGACCTGAGACCTGAGACCTGAGGACCTGAGACCTGAGACCTGAGGACCTGAGGACCTGAGGACCTGAGACCTGAGACCTGAGGACCTGAGGACCTGAGACCTGAGGACCTGAGGACCTGAGACCTGAGACCTGAGGACCTGAGACCTGAGACCTGAAGAGCTGAGGACCTGAGACCTGAGGACCTGAGACCTGAAGACCTGAGGACCTGAGACCTGAAGACCAGGGGACCTGAGACCTGAAGACCTAAGGACCTGAAGACCTGAAGACCTGAGGACCTGAGACCTGAGGACCTGAGACCTGAAGAGCTGAGGACCTGAGACCTGAAGAGCTGAGGACCTGAGACCTGAGGACCTGAGGACCTGAGACCTGAAGAGCTGAGGACCTGAGACCTGAGGACCTGAGACCTGAAGACCTGAGGACCTGAGGACCTGAGGACCTGAGACCTAAAGAGCTGAGGACCTGAGACCTGAGGACCTGAGGACCTGAGACCTGAAGACCTGAGGACCTGAGACCTGAAGAGCTGAGGACCTGAGACCTGAGGACCTGAGACCTGAAGACCTGAGGACCTGAGGACCTGAGGACCTGAGACCTAAAGAGCTGAGGACCTGAGACCTGAGGACCTGAGGACCTGAGACCTGAAGAGCTGAGGACCTGAAGACCTGAGACCTGAAGACCTGAGACCTCAGGTCCTTCTGCTCCCACCTCCTTCATGTTGTGTCTTCATCTTCATTAAAGAAGGTTTCCCAGTGTTTCCCTTCTCAGACATTCATTCATTCGCTTCATCTGGACTGAGAGCCACAGTTCCTTATTATTGATCAGTTAACATTAGACTTTCAGTGTGTGCAGAGAGCAGTGCCTGATATTAGTGAGGATATTATCTGTCAGTGACTCACGCTCCAGTCCACGGTGCTACTGGGCTCCTGCAGCGGGTCGCTCTGACTGGACGTTGAGATGCTTGGCTGAGTCGCCGCATGCTGCAGACCTGACTTCGCGATGGCTTTCCTGAAACCACAAGAGACACTGTTTGATTCTGACTTTATTAATTTATAGTTTTATTTGTGTTAATGTTTCCTTTAAATGGTGGAGGATGAAGGCCCTCACAGTAAATCTGATTCAAACATAAATTTGTTTGTCTGATTTCAATTGTTCATGTCATCACTACTGTTGTTGCCATGGTTACCTGGAGCCTCATATACAGTAAGCACTGATTTACTGCAGTGATGAACCTGTTGATCACACCATTTTATTGATGAGGTGAATCACACAGATACTGTATGTGTCAGCCAATCAGGAGCAGCCAGCATTCACCACACACCCCATGTGTCTGCATGAGGGGGTCTTACTGTGTTTATAAGTGTACTATTCACTATGCTGTGACATCACACACACACACACACACACACACACACACACACATTCATGAACCTTAACAACAGAGCTGCTGTGATCAGTCGTCGTTGTGTGAGCTGCTAATGAGGATGTTTGTGTCATCATCCTCCGTCCCTTCATGACTCTGCCTCCTCACCTGTATTTCCTATCTCCTCTGCACTAAGAACATCTACAGGTACAAGTGAAGAAATCTTGAACCTTCTCATCACCTCTCTACTTTCACTTTCTCCACATCAGATCTAAAACTACAAACAACTCTTTAGCCAGGTGACATGTTGCAGTAAAACCAGGAAACCAGGTGAACACCCAGAGGAGGGAGGAGGAAAACACACACACTTGAACACACACTCAGAGGCGTTTCACCACACTGAGGATGAGCTGAGCTAATTGAGCTAATAAAGCTAGGTGAGCTAACTGAGCTAATAAAGCTAGGTGAGCTAACTGAGCTGAGCTAACTGAGCTAAGCTAACTTATCAAACAGCAGCCGGCTACATACAGCAGGAAGGCACTCCAGCTCTCCAGGCGGGAGTCGTAGCCGTGGGCCCCCAGAGGACTGAGGGCCCCGGGGCCCCTGTAGAAGGCCGGGTGGGTGAGGTAGTAGACTGAGGCCCTGCGGCTGGGCAGCGGGGGCCCTCTCCCAGGCCAGGGGCTCCCAGCTTTGGAGATGGTGGAGATCTTCCTCCTTCTCCTCTGGCTGGGGGCGCGGCAGCGGCTGTAAGGAGCCGAGTCACCTGAACACACCTGAGATGAGTTCCTGCGGAGGCAGCGAGGGGCCCGGATCAGGGGCCGCGAGGGCGCCGGCAGCTGGGGGGCCTTTCTCATCACCTCCAGGGTGGAGGAGTGAGAGACGTGTCCATCAGGGGACCAGGAGGCGTCGTCTTCCTCCTCGGCCAGCTGCTCCGCCTCCGACGGCTGACTGGCTTCTGATTGGCTGTCGTCATTGCTGGAGTAATCGTCACTGTCCTCATCTCCGTCTGAGTGGAGGCTGCTGGAGCGTGAGAACATCCTCCTGTTGTTGGCCCCGCCCCTCACCTCCACCTGCTGCTCTCCAGTCGGCAGCCCCGCCCCCAGCCCCTCCTCCTCCTCCTCAGCCATCTGGATGAGACTGGCCAGCAGCATGGACGGCCCCAGTAGGTGGGTGTCGATGGTCCGCAGCTTCCCCACCTTCTTCCTGCTCACGGCGAACCTCGGGTTCAGGCTGGGAGTGGTGGTGCTGGAGCGCCTGCGACCGTGTCCTGCCAACCTGCTGTGTCTGGATGCTTTCGCCAAACGCCCCCCGCCCGCACAGGGCAACGCACCCTGCAGCTGGACACTGGACCGTCGCCGCTGGGTCAGGGTGGAGGAAGGGAGGCCGACGTTGGACCGGCGGCGGGCCTTACTGGTGGGGACGGCCACGCTGGGCCTTCGCTGGCGGCAGGAAGTGGCCTCAGCTTCCACCTGCAGTGCAGCGTCCTTCCTCTTAAAGTGACGGCGGAAAAACGTGTCCATGTTGGACTCGGGTGGGGGGGGGTGGGGGGGGCAGACACCTGAAGAGCACCGCTCTGTTGGACAAAAACCAGTTAGAGCTGCAGGAGCACCACCCCAAGTCTGTAAACCACATCAGACCTGCTGGACCACCAGTCTCAGCCTCATGCAGCTGGAACATCTGCAAACATCTGGCAGCTGCAACAGTCTCAGCCTCCTCACTGACACACACTGACACACCTGTGCAGGTGTCACCTTCAGGTTAATACCTGGCTCACTGTGTTAACAACCTGATCCAGTCTTCCAGTGTGACTGCAGGGTTAGCAGCTAGCAGTTAGCAGCAGCTAACCCGGACTACAAAGGAGAACTGGAAACAGCAGGTGTCCCTGATCCCAGATCAGCTGTTCAGACCTGGTCCTGTCTCAAGTCTTAGGACAGGAAGAGAACTGGATTCATTACAGAATCAGATCCTAAACACATCAGTTATCAACTGTTATGTCTATTACCTAGCAACGCAGGTTACGTCTCACTCAGGTGTCTCTGTCACCTGCAGATTTCTCATTGAATCAACAACAGGTGAGTTACAAGTTCTTTTACTACAACACTCACTAAGAGGACAAGAGAGTGGTTGTGTCTTCATGACGATTTGCTCCTGTTACCAAGGCAACAGGTCACAGCTTCAACCTGTGGCCAACATGAATTATGAAACAGTCTGAGGGGGCGGGGGGGTCGTCTCCACAGGGGGAACAGCATGACAACAGGAAGCTGTCATTATCACTGTGACTCACAACAACAGTAATTAAGGACCGGTCTCCTGCTGGCTCCAACACAAATATCACACCAGGAATTAGTCTGTGACCGCGGCCTCATGGTCCACAGACCATGAGAGCAGGTCACCTGTTCACCTGCAGAACAAGCTGCCAGGTGTTCAGCTGTTACAGGTGAGAGAGCAGCACACACCTGACAGGTACCTGGAGCTGAGTCCAACTTCAGGAGCCGCATCCTTCAAATGAGACGTTCCGGTCTATGGAGGATTTTCGGTGTTCCCACCTTTACCGTTGCGTCGCCTAGCAACCACGACAACACGTAACTTTTTTTAACAAAAATGTGAGCTGTGTCTCATCCTTCAGAGGCCGCAGCTGAAGACCGACTACACTGCCCTGTTTCACAGGCTGCAACAGGTGGGTCCTTCCTGGTCCAACATATCCCAGGATTCATTGCACTGTGGTAAGGAAAATGGTGACAGAGAGTCTGAGGATCACTCTGTTAAATGTCAGTATTGTGCTTCAGTTCAACAGCTAACAGTACTGTTAAAGGCAAGACATTGAAAACTAAAAGTTACTGTGAAAAAAAAGTTACGCGTTGTCCAGGTTGCTAGGCGACAGGAACAAGGAACAGTGTACTATGTTTTTTTTAAAGGGACAGTTGTGGTATTTTGACGTGGGGTTGTTTGAGGTCGTCAGATATAGTTGGTAAATTACCTGCAGCAGATCATGATGAGCGCGCTCCCAGGTAGGAGAGCCGACCCCCGCTGTGGGCGGGGCCACCAGAAAAAACGTGTTTTAGATACGCCCACCAAAACAATCCAATATAAGCTTAAATTAGGCTTAATGTAGAATACTTTCAGAACAGAAGTTTCCTTTGGCACTACATTTTTCAACCGCTGAACTACCGTATTCCTACGCACAAGTGCACCTACAGAGCGCTCTTTATTATGACACTTTCTGAGTCACTCAGGTGACCTGCAGCGTAACACAGTGCACTACATTAAGCTGAAGAGCTGAAATATTCTACATGAAGCTTTATTTAAACAGATGTTGGATTGTCTCAAACACATTTTTTTCTGGTGGCCCCGCCCACAGCCACACATCACTCTGACCTTCTTCAGGATGCTGCCGGTCAGATCTCCTAACTGGGAGCGCACCCGTCATAATCTACTGTAAGTAATGTACCGACTGTATATGACGACCTCACACACCCCCACGTCAGAAAACCCGAACTGTCCCTTTAATCACAGCATTCACTCATTTGATCTGAGAGGTGTTTGGAGCTTCACTATCCAACAGGATAAAAAGATTTACGGATTTTGAAAAAAATGATGTCAGAGCTGTTTACAGGTGTTACAGGTGTTACAGGTGTGAAGGATTTCCTTTTTGTTTTTGGTGGTTAAAGACCTGCGTCTGTTCAGTCATAGACCGTTGACTTTGTTTTCCACTGTGTATATTGCTGATGTTTACTGTGTGATGTGTGATGCCTTCACTGTGACTCATCTCTGCTGTACATTCAGGATCACCTATGACTACAGCTTAGCTGCAGGACGTGACGGCAGCAGCACTTCACAGAATGAGAGGTGACTCTGCTGATTATCACGGAGCAGCAGCTGATTAGTGACACACACACACACACCGCAGGGAAACCTCTCTATTCCTAGAGCTCGTCCTCACTGTCAGTCTGCAGCCTCACCTCTCACCTGTCTGACCTGGTGACATAATCATGTACTCAATCACACAGTGGAAAATGTCACACACAGGAGTACATGTACACTGGTTTTCAGGTGCGCTCTGGTCACCTGATGCCACGCCCTCAAACACACAAAAGTTAGCAGTTAGCAGTTAGCATGTTGAAACCAAGCATCAACCTTCAGACTGAAACATGAAGCATCAACAGTGAAGAACCAGAAGCTGCAGTTCCTCTAACGGCCACTAGAGTCTGGCTCCAACAGTGAGTCAGACTTCAAACTTTACAGCAGAAATCAACATGTTTACAGCCTGGTACAAAAACTAATTTCCTCCTTCATGACACCTGTTTATAGAACTCACCTGTTTACATTTTATTAAGGACTGCAGTTATGGAAGATTGAGGGCGTGGCCTCTTTGAGTGACAGGTGGGTGCTATCACAGTTAGCTAGCTGCTAACAGCTGACTCACCGAACATGAGTCTGAGCTCCTGTTTTTAGAGGTGAGTGAAACTCTAGTGTTATTTGATTTATATGTTAGCACTAATTAGCAGGTATCAGTGAATGTGCTCGTCATACCTGTCTTATTAGCTTAGCACGTTAACTAGCTAATCCTCAACATGAATCATCATATTGATCATGTGACTGTGAGTATCTAACCACAGATGATAAACTGTCCTGCTGTCTCAGTTCATTAAAGCAGGTTTGTCATGTTTGAATCATCATCTCTTCCAACCTGAACAACCATCAAACCTCTGATACGACCCAAACCAGTGTCTCCTCACATAGTGTAACCATGACCTTGGTTGTCATGGTTACTGGTAATGAACATGCAGGCTGTACCGCTAGTGGCGTTCCTACCTTTGCCACCATGGTTACTATAATAACAGTCACGGCTTGGTTAGGTTTAGGAAAAGATGGTGATTTGGGTTAAAGTAAGTACTTCCTCAACATTCGACGATCTTTATTGTCATGGTTACAATAACAACAGCAAATGGTCATGGATAATAGAAACAACGTGGGGATTGAACACACCGCTCCCCTTTTGTCACATTCATCCATCCGCCACCTCCTGACATGGACTTTGTCTCTCTTTATACTACGTCAACGACACTTCTCCCTTTGCTCCTGTCATCATTACTACGACCACTAGATGTCGCCTAGCAACCAAACCTAGCTATGATGTCATAACAACCGGCTGTGCAGATGACCTGTGTGCTCGTTTGTTACAGGAGGACGGACTCTATAGAACAAGTCAAAAACCAGACCAACACCCCCGGTCTGATTGGTCTGGTTCTGGACTTGTTCTCTTGAGACTGGTGAAGCTGTTTTTAAATGACGCTGTGTTAGCTACAATGCTAATGCTACAAACAGTAGACCTCTGTGTTTCAGTCACTCTGGTCTGATCTGAGGTCAGTTTGTAGTCAGACACCAGATCAGTGGAAAAAACACAAATACAAAAAGACAAAATACCACAAAAAAGGTTCAAAAGTTCACAAGATCTACAATAAACAGTCAGTCAGACAGTCAGTAAAGAGCCCACTACTCCTCCTTTGTGTCTCCTTCACCAACACTTTACCAACTCACCAGAACCTCCACCACCTCCAGACTCACTTCTGTACTAGAACTGAAGTCCAGAGTCCACCAACCTGCAACCAAACCCAGAACAAGGACCCAGACCTCCCTTTAAAATGTCCCTACAGTGTGAATACCAGTCCTCCAGATGCTCTGGTCCACCTGTAGACCAGGACCAGGACCAGGTCCAGTTCTATCACTGAATGAGACTGTACAACTTCATACTGATATTGATCAACTTCATGATGTGATAAAAAAAAAGGTGGGTTTAATGGCAGTGACGGAGACTCAGCTCCAGCAGCTGTTTCTCCATCAGTCGCTCACACAGAGGAGGAGACAGGACTGAGCTCAAGCTTCAGACCTGGAGCTTCCATCAGACAGAGACGTTTTAAAATCCTGATCAAACAAGTGGAAACCAGGAGAGTTTGTCTGTGTCAGTAATAAACGTCAGCTCAGATTTATCTTTTGTTGACTCAGTTTAACCCTCTGATGTCCGTTTTGATTATGTTTTTATGCATTAATATCTGTCTTTGTGCAGCACATTTTAAACTGTCCTACATGCATCGTTTCCTTTGTTCAGCACAAACTCGGCTGTAAGTCTGACAAATTATAAACCACCAGGAACCCAAGGTATATGAAATATAACACAAGCACCTGTTAAAGTGTTCATGTCTTTAGTCACAATCAATCAAAATACTGCTGTAGAAAAGCTCAAAGTTGTAAAAACTATTGTTTTACTAGTTGTCCACACCAATAGAAGATAGCAGAAATATGTAAGAAATGAAACTATAATATCTATATGTCTATTTACATGTAAAGGGATTTTATTCCAAACGATTTTTGTGCCTTTTTCACTGAAATCATGGAAAATATAAACAATTGAGACTCTATGCAATCGTGTGTGAAAGTCCCACATCAGCACTTTGAACTGATTTCCTCACCTGGTCTCTACATCATAAGTTTGTGACTGTAAATTAAAACTGTGGCCGCAGAC